GCCCCGACTATCGCGACATCCACGCGACTCTTCGGAGTGGCAAGACCGTCCCGAACTACTATCTCGGGGACAACGGTCTTGTGTACTGGCACGGTTCACAGGGCACTTGAGAGCCCCGTATTTGCGTTTCCTCCACTGGACAGCTACGTGTCCAAGCAGTAGCAGAGTTCCATGACTAGGCAGCCGCCGGTCGTATGGGCTTCCACAAGACGTTGGCTCGTGTAAGCCGCCTGTACGTCTGGCCGAAGCGCAAGGACTTTGTGAAGGACTACGTCGCAGAGTGTCCCACCTGTCAGGAGGTGAACAGTGCGAACCACCTACCTTATGGTTTGTTCCAGCCTCTCCCTATCCCTGAGGGTCGTTAGGAGTCCATCTCGATGGACTTTATCGGTCCTCTTCAACCTCCGACCCCCCGCGGTCATAATGCTATCCTGGTCGTCGTCCACCTCTTCACGAAGCGTGCACGCTTTGTTCCGTGCCGCTATGCTACCAGTGCACGTGAGGTCGCCGACATCGTGTTTGACCGAGCCGTGCGCGACCACGGCTTACCTCTCAGCATCATTTCTGACCGTGACCCGCGCTTTACCAGCCGATTCTGGCGACGGCTCCACGAGGTATACGGCACTCAGCTCCGCTTCTCCTCATCTTACCATCCTCAGACTGATGGTCAGACCGAGATCACGAACAAGACTCTAGGAGATATTCTCCGAAAGATTGTTCGTGACGACCAGCAATGGGACCTCCATCTTGCCCACGCGGAGATAGCCTACAACCACGCCGTCTCGCCAGCCACGGGGATGTCGCCTTACTATTGCGACCTCGGCTATCACCCTTGTGTTCCCGCGGACTTCCTTCCACCGTCACAGATGCAACCCGACACGAGTTGTCCCGCGCTGGATGATTGGGTTTCACACATGACGTCGATCATGAAGACCGCACATGAGCACATAGCCGCTTCCCAGACTCGCATGGCAACAAGTGCGAACCGATCGAGGATGGATCATCCATTCAAAGTCGGTGATGATGTGCTTATCGACGCCCGCCACTTACAGCTCGAAGCGGATACGCTTCGAAAGTTTCGGCGTCGCTTCTTTGGTCCATGCCGCATCCTCCAGGCCGTCGGTTCTGATACGGCTTCTAGCCCGGTCAGCTTCCGTGTGAAGCTGCCTGACTACCTACGCCAGGCTCGTGTGCTTGATGTCTACCACGTCTCGTTACTGCGTCCTTACCGCAGACCGTCTGAGCGTTTCGCCGGACGACCATACGAGCGCCCTCCACCCATCATGGTGGACGGTCACGAGGAGTTACTCGTTTCAGACATCATTGGTCGTCGAGTCACCGACGACAACCCTCCCCACGTCGAGTATCTTGTACGTTGGAAGGGTTACCCTGATGAGAAGGCTACCTTGGAGCCCCTCGAGCACTTGCAGCACGCTCGCATGTTGGTGCGTGCCTATGACCGTGCTCGTCAGGCTGGGTTCACTGCTCCTCCTCAGCCCACTGACCCTCCTCCTTCTCCTCCGGCTGAGGAGACCGCTGAAGTCGAGCCTGCTCCATCTGAGGCAGACCTTCAGCAGCAGCCGGATGCTTCTGAGCGTCCACATCACACTCGTCGTCGTCCTGCTCGATACGACGATTGACTCTGACTTACCTTCCCACGTCTTTGACTTCTCAGTACTCCATCCACATCAGTTTTGCTACTTCAGCTCGTCGATG